GGGGGGCTCGGCGATGGGTGTAGCCTCGTTGCGCCATCGCATGCTGCTGCCACGCTGTTTCTGTCACCCGCCGTGCATGCAGTGTGCGCTTCTCTCTTGCATCCATTGTTCGCCTGCTGCTGCACCACTTTGTCGGGCCCCATGTGGCAGCAGCAGCGGTCGATGGTATTTTGAACTTGAGCCAGACACAACAGGGACACCCCTGCTCCTTACTTACAGTGCATGCAACATGCTCCCACCTCCTTTTGCTTTTCTTACATCAATTGTCCGGCTGTTGGCCCCCCTTTGTGCGCCGCATCGTTCAGAGCTCCGAACAACGAGAAAATCATGTCCCGCGATTGCTTGCCGCCGTCTGTCTTCTCGCCTCATCGTAGCTCGTTCAGCGTACTGGTTTCACATCACATTAGAACGCAGCAAGGCCTGCGGTCGATACCTTGGCGCCCCGAAGGATTTTCGCCTAGGCAATGATCTTGGCGAGTCCAGCTGCGAGTGCCGCCCCCAGTCTGACCAGCCAGCGGTTGACTGATAGATGCAATCAAAAAAAAAACCTCCTCCCTCCTCCCTCCTCTGGCCCAGAGCCAGCTTCTTCGCCCCGAGTCGTGCTTTGAAGGTCCCGAGGTACCGCGAGGGCCCCTGGAGGCCCCGAAAGCGACCAAACACTGGCCGCTCCGATGTTTGTCGGAGCGCCGGATCTCTGAGAAGCACGCATCACACCCAAAGCCCGGCACGGGTCCGCGACAAACGGGGGGGGGGAGGCGATGAGTGGGGGCGCAGCAAGGGCTTCAGAAAAGATGCCTTTAGGGGCCCCTAGCCTTGGGGCCCGACAAGTTCTCCTTTCTCCCCTCCGGATTTACCTAGAGGCCTCCTCGATGGGCTCCGAGTAGATAGGCTCGAAGGATCGCGCCGCAGCGGCGATGCATCGGCGACGTCGGCGTGGGGAAACACGGGCTTCACATCGAGCCGCATCGACGATGCATCGACGATGCGCCGCGACCCTTCGACCACATCTACTCGGACCCATCGAGGAGGCCTAGAATTCATCACCCCCTGTTACTCCGCCGCGCCCGCGGCCCCTCTCCCTTGTGGCTCCGGACACTGGCCATCGTTCGGACGTCCATTCCCTGTGCTTTTTCGGTTTCGTGCGCGGTTTTCTCGCAGGATGATCCAGGACGCTCCTTGATATAATCCCCGCCGAGAAAAAGTGCACACGTCCGAGCGATATCAAGCTCTTGTGGCTCCGGATAGGAGGAGACCTGGTCCGTCCTTCGCGGGGCGTGGGGTGGGAGACAACTGGGTTGCGCCGCGGGGGGTGGCGCTTCGGCCGGCGTGCGGGTGCCAGGGCGGCGTTGGCGGGGGGGGTGGGCGGCGGCGGCGGCGGTTTTTCGCCGCTCTCGGCCTCGGGGGGCCCTCGCCTGGCCACGGGACCGTGCCGAAAAACTCTGGATGAAGGCGAACTGGTCCTCGGGAATGGGTCGAGGCTTCCAGAGGCACCACATCGGACAGATCACGACATCGGATCTCTGGGCTTGGGCGGGGAGGGGCCTATTCAGCAGCTTGGAGAATTCGTGGGTTCGCGGCCCACGGGCCCGAGAACAGCCCCCGTGACCACCAAATGTTCTCCGGCTGGGTGTCTTCAGGACGAGCGATCTTAGTGGAGGCACGGGCCAGCCGCGTGGGTATGCTCTGGGGCGCCCTGACAGTGACAGGAAACGTTCGGGGGGGACCCGCTCAGAGGGGAACATCGACCTGCAGTCGGCGATACATCGCCGATAGATCCGCGATTGGCCCCCGACAGCAAAACCGCGCGGTCTTGGAAGGAGTGAACCATCGGGCCTCTATCGGCGATCAAAGGGCCAATGATGGTCGATGCATCCCGCCTCCCGTGAGCTGATCCCACCCTGACGTTGCCCCTGATGGTAGGCCTCGTTCATCGCGTAGCACATGAAGCCGACGGTCGAGCAGCACTTCGTCTGGCTGCAGTCGTCCACCTCCCCGGAGCAATTCTCCTGAGGGTGAGCTGCTGGCGACCCGCTCGACTCGAATACCAGCGACTGGCGAGAGGAAAAAGAGGGGAGTATGATGAGACGGTGTGGGGAGAGGGTGGCCCCGACCTAGATCACAGGAACGGCCCCCCAAAAAGGGCGCTCGCCCTGAGCCCAAAGTCTTCCCAGACATGCGACGTCCTGTTTTTTTCCGGCGGTGGACCAACCTCCCTTTAGTAAACCTCCCCTTAATGAACACGACCTAGGGCCGAAATCGACCGACCTGGACCCGCAACAAACGACGGCCGCGGCGCCCCCTCGCGAACCGAAACCGGCCAATTCCTGAATCGACGTGTCAGGGTAGGAGGCCTGTCCACCTCCGAGTTTTGCTCGTCGGACCCGAGAAGTCTCGCCCCCTTCCCCAGTCGGGCGTTGGCAGAACTGGGGAGGCCCCCCCCCCCCCGCCCCGTTCCACTCACCGGAACTGCCGTCACCCGAAAAACACCAGCTACGGCAGCCCTGGCTTAGCGACTCTGGCCAATTCGAGGGCCCCGGGGCCCTACCACTGACCGGGTCCCCTTGCCTGGGGCCCTGGCTGTACCCGACCCTGGGCGGGCGCCTCGTCCAGGGACGTCCTCTGACGGCCCCCCCGGGCCTGGCCAGGCCCCCCCCCCCAGAGAGGCCGCAGCCCGAGAGCAGGCTCTCCACCCTTTCACTTCGCCAGCAAGTTGGCTGCCTGGGACCCCTCGGACGCGAGCGAGGGGGGGGCGAGGCGGGGATTCATCCTGGGACTCCTCGGCAGCGAGCGAGGGGGGTGCGAGGCTGGGATTTATCCATGTCCACCGCCTGGGAACCGACGTCCTGGTGCCCCAGCGGGCGGTGGATATGGATATATTTCGGCTCCGGGGGGCCCGATTATGTCCATATCCACCGCCTGCCGAGGCTGCGAAAACTGACCCTCCAGGCGGTGGTCATGTATAAATTCCTGCCTCGGAGGGGGGGAAGTGAGGAGGAGGCCATCTCGGATGGCGGCGGGGCTTCTCGAAAGGGTCCCGGCCTTCTGAGGGCTCTTCGGGCTCTTCGGGAAAGACTCAGAAAACTGCTCGAAGGCTGGGAGACATCCGAGCCTTCTGAGGAGGCCCGCCCCTTCTCACTTGCCTCAGGGCTCGCTGCCGAACTTCGCCCCCGTTCCAGGGACTGGTTTTGCGTCCGTGCGTCCTAGGTTTTTCGACGGGCCCGTGCGGCCCAGAAGCGGCCCCCCAAGAGGGCGGAATCGGGAGTTGCGCCATGGGAGGGGCGATGAGCTTGGGGTGGGCTCGAGGGCTACGAAGACCCGCTGGAGGCCAAAGAACAGCGGCAAACGCGAACATCCGGATCGTCGGACCTCGCGGCTCGAGCCTCTACCCCAGAGCCCTGATTTCTGTCAGGACGTCGGATGTCTGGGCCTCTCAGGGAAACGGATACGTACCAATACCGCTACTCCCTGGACCTCTCCTGGGGTGCTGTCTGCCAAGAATTTCGAGGCGAATCCAGCGGTGGCGACGAGGGCCCCCCAGGAGGCCCCAAAAACTGAAAAACGAGGGAAGGGTAGCGGTATGGGTGACTTTTCTCAAGGGGAGTTGAAAACGACCCCCCAAATCGGGGTGTGCTAAACAGCCTTGGGCGTTTACAAAACAGCCCTGCCCTGTTCGATCCCTTCCCTGGGCGCGTTCACTGAAAGCTTCGCTCGGCGGGGTGCTTATTACGAGGGTGATTAGTATGCCCTCCATTTGCCTCCCCCTCATCCGAGATAAAAACGAGGCTGGTTAGGCATGCCGTGCCTGGGGTCCAAGCGCACCCGGCCAGGAGGCCCAGAAGGGGGAAAGCGAGGGAAGGGTAGCGGTGTGGGTACACGACGGTCGGAAGAAGTGGGTAAAGCATGAAGTAGGAAGGCAGATAAAGTAGGTTGGGTTCAGGCCCCCCCAGAGAACAACAAGACACAGCAGAAGCACATCGACAAATGAGGTGGCAAGGCGCTCGAAGTAGATCGAGACCTGGACATCCAGAAATACATACTCTTAACGACCGACGGGTACCTTTCCCAGACCCCCGACGTCGCGATTGTTTCACAAAGGTCGACCCCCAGAGGTCTCGACCCATTCCCCGGGACTGGCTTCTCGCCCCGAGTAGTTCTTTGACGATCCCAACGCCCGGTGAGGGGCCCCAGAGGCCGAAAATAGCGCAAAACCTCTCGTCGTGATTCCCGTCGCAGCACTAGGAGGAGGAGGAGGAGGAGGAGGAGGAGGAGGAGGAGGAGGAGGAGGAGTAGGAGGAGGAGGAGGAGGAGGAGGAGGGGGAGGAGGAGGAGGAGAAGGAGGAGGACGAGGAGGAGGAGGAGGAGCAGCAGGCGCAGGAGCAGGAGCAGGCGCAGGAGAAGCAAGAGCAGGAGGAGGAGGAGGAGGAGGAGGAGGAGGAGGAGGAGGAGGAGGAGGAGGAGGAGCGCGGCTCGCCCGAGGAGAATCTCGGGGGGGGGGCCCGCGCAGGACGACGAGCGCGAGGCGGCGGCCCACCCCACGGCCGGACACCGGGGCGACGCGCCTGGGCGCCTGGGCGCTGCGGCGCGGCCCGCCGAGAGGAGACGGGCCGGCAGAGCGGGCCCCGTCGGAGCCCCCGCGCAGCACCCGGGCAGCGCGGGGGGCGGCGGCAGCGCACGGCGCCCCCGCGCAGCACAATTGCGGGGGCTCGACCACAAGAAGCCTTCCACAAGAGAAGCCCCACCCGGAGACCCCGGGACGTCCACATCGACTTGTGGTGCGGGAGCGTCGCGCTGCCGACGGCGAGGCCATCGAGGCCCAAGAAACTCAGGGCACCCTGGAGGCAGGCAGGGTGCCTCCTGGCAGTGCTGGGTCTCCACTGCACCCGAGAAGAGCGAGGCGGTGACCCACCGCACGGTGGAGGCGCCCCTTGCAAGAGCGGCTGCGCCTCGGCGGCAAACGTCCCACGCCAGCGGCGTGCGGTGAAGGCGCAGGGCGGAGGGGGCACGTCGGGCGCACCTCGCGGTCGGCGTGCCGCAGCGGCGGCCCGAGCGACACGCTGCGCGCCGTGCCAAGCTGCTGGCGCGCCGCTGCGCTCCGCGGAGCGGGAGGCCGGGAAGAGCTCGGGGCGTTGCCGCCTGGGGACTGGGACGTGCTCAGCGTGTCGCAACAAAGCGCGGAGAGCAAGAGCCGGCGACGCGACACGCTGAGCAAGCGCTCCTTACACGATGACGGAGCAGAGGAGGGCCACGTGAGGCGCGGCCCGGGGTGGGGGGCGTAGGGCTCTGGCGTCGTGGTGCCCGCGCTGCGCGGGCAACTGCAGAGTACTCGACTCGAGGGAAAGGCCCCCCTGAGACTGTGCGTGAAAATCGCCTGCTTCCTAACTGATGCAAGGGGCACTCCTGTCTGCTGCAGACGGCCAGGGAGGAGGGGGAGGAGGGGAGGAGGAGGAGGAGGAGGAGGAGGAGGAGGATGAGGAGGAGGAGGAGGAGGAGGTGAGGAAGGAGGAGGAGGAGGAGGAGAGAGGAGGAGCAGGGGAGGAGGAGGAGGAGGAGGAGGAGGAGAGGAGGAGGAGGAGGAGGAGGAGGAGGAGGAGGAGGAGGGGGACGACGAGGCTGCGCTTGCCCGCCCTGGATGGGGCCCTGCAGGGAAGGGTCAGGGGTCCCGCGGCGCTCCCGAGGAGAGCCCTTCCCTGCCTTGCTTCTGGCGGCCATGGGGGCCCTTTGGGCGCCCGAGTTATCCGGGATACCTCGGGCCCGGGGTAACTCGGGTTTGGATTCCCGAGAAAGGAACCCGAGTTATCCCTGACCCGAAAATACCCCTGATGATTCGGGGCTCTGGACGCCCAAACCATCCGGGGTAACTCGGGTCCGGGATAACTCGGGTTCGGAATCCCGAGAAAGGAACCCGAGTTATCCCTGACCCGAGTTACCCCTGATGATTCGGGGCTCTGGACGCCCGAACTATCCGGGGTAACTCGGGTCCGGGATAACTCGGGTTTGGAATCCCAAAAAAGGAACCCGAGTTAGCCCTGACCCGAGTTACCCCTGATGATTCGGGGCTCTGAGCCCTTGCTTCTGGCGGCCATGGGGCCCGGGGGAGGACCCCTTTTTCCCCCGAGGGCCAGGACGCCGGAAGACGGTGGCCTCGAGACTGTCCCGCGAGGCGGTAGGTCTGAGCCGCCACGCGACGGCAACGGCGGCGGTCGAAGCTGGGCAGAGCTGGATCCAATCGCGGAGTCGGATCGGATCGGACACGGATCGGACCGCCGGCGACTCGCCCCGAAACGAAACGTTGGCCGGGTCGCCGCGCCAGGGCTCTGACTACCCCTGGCCGATGCTCGCGGACCGAGCCGAACGGAATCGGGATCGTGGGCCCAGCCCGCGAATCGAACTGCATTTGAGCACGGACCAACCATCCCGGCATTCCTGCAGGCTTCTTGGAACCCAGAAATGCTTTAAGAACCAACTCAATGTTCTCAGAACATCGACCCGATGTGTGAAAACAAGTCCCAGCCAGAAATGCTCTAAGAACATTTCATGGAAACCACGACAGGCTCGTATAAAATTGCTTGGTATGCCTATAGGCGAGCCAGGACGCTTCGCAACTGCTTAATGCATTGACTCGGATCGTGGGCGGCCCTGCGAAGTCCTCCACCCAGTCGCCGATCGTAGAGGGCGTGCCCGGCCCAGCCTGGCGGCAGCTCCACGGGTCCGCGTTGTCCAGGTCGAAGTACTGAGACCCAGGGGTGCACTCCAGCAGGCACCTCGGTGGAGGGGGGAGGGGGAGGGGGAGGAGAAGGAGGAGGAGGAGGCGGAGGAGGAGGGGGGAGAAGATGGGACGCGCAAAGGCATACTAGTACTACATGTCCGCCTTGGAGGCGTGCGTCCGACGCGAACATATAATACAGCCATCCTGTAGTATATCGTTACCCGAGCGGTGTGGCCGGGAAGCGCCGGCCACGACGCATATACTATAAGATTTCTCAATGCGCGCGTCGCCCCTTGGGGGGTGACGCACACATAGTACTAGTGCGCCCCAGCTTAGTGTTAAGAATATGTGTAACGTTTCCTTGAGCATCAGTCAAATCCAACTCTACGAACCTCCCACGAACAAAAAGAAGCTCCAAGAAAACGCCCAGGGTCCGGCCCATCTTACTGATTTTCTGAAACGCGATCTGGAGTCCATGAAAGCCGCAGCGTTGTCTGAGGGGTGTATGCTGGGGTGGCGCCGAGAAGAGGATGCGGAAGGGGAGGAGCAGACGGCCATCGTGCGACCAGAAGGGACGCCGAGTGAGGAAGGCAGCGGCTCTCACGTCACGGCCAGCCTCGGTCACGAGATAAGCTCCCCGACCCACGTCGGAGGAGCGGCCCGGCCATCCGGGCGCCTCCTGGACCGGACGTGGCCCACAGTGCGGCGCCTTGGCGCGGAGGCGAGCCACGGAAGCGACGACGGGAAGCCCCAGACACCCGAGGGGGCATGGGAGGAGAAAGATCACGACCATCGAGAGAGAGAGAGAGGGAGAGAGGGAGGAATAGAGAGAGAGGAAACCTCAAAAGCACACCAGAGAGTGCACCAGCAAGAGAAGGAAAGGAGGGGTGATGGGGCACGATGAGGAGGAAGGGAGAGCACTAAGAGGAGGGAGGGAGGGAAGACCCGAGCAAGCCCAAGACAGGTCAACGGTGCTGCAGCGCACCGTCCGTGGCGGTGTCCCTCCTGACGAGATTCCTGCGAATGGTCATTTCCGTGGCCGCGCGCACGAAGGGGAAATGGGAGGGGGAGGCGTTCTAGAAGGAGCCTGTTTCTAAGGAAGGGACGGCCTGACATCTACAGAGAAAGGCCCCCGTGTGTTAAGAAACAAGGGTTCGTCTAAGAAACCTTCCCCTTTCCCCAATACGTCCCTTCTGCGCATGGCTGATTTCCGCTCCATGAAGCACGCCCCCTTGAGGACGATCGACTCATGGACCCACCTTTTCCTGCGGAAACCCGCTTCGAAAAAAAGGCTCCGCAACTTCCGCAATCCGCAGACCCCCAAAGTCGTGCGTGAGGTTTGCTGGTGTTGTCTCACTTGGAGATCTCGCTTTCCCTCTTTCCCAGTGGCCACCCCAGGCCTCCTCAGTGATCAAGGAACAATACAAACATTCAAACCTATAGAGATGAGGAATGGGGAAGGGCAGGGCGATGAATGCACAACATGTTATGGATGCTCGTTGTCATGCCCCAGGGAGGGTGTTCCTGTTCGGGCGGGGACTTCCATCCGACAAGACACACCCATGGCGCCCCCGCCTCTCTCGTCCCCCGCAAACCCGCAGTTGAGGCGCATGAGGAAGGCTACGGCGAGTTGAAGCGATTCCCGGTTTTGCGCGTACCATAAAGCAGATGATGGCTACGTGATGCAAGCTGCATGCAGCTTACTGAAGCAGCGCCAAAGACACTACGACGAACACTGTCAGGCAGCTTGGAATGCAATTTCCAGGGAGGCATTCATAAGCCGACCTTCGAAGAAGAACAACTTTTGGCTAAACAATGCGTACAAACCCATCGCGGGCCAGTTCATTGCACTTTAGCGTGACGCCAATAGGTTCCCCGACCTGGGTCTGAATAGCGGCCCGAAAACCTGAGCTCCTAGTGAACCCAAAACGGTCCGTACGTCAGCGTTCAGACTGTATGTGTACCCGCTGCACCTTCATACATTTTTCGGAACACAGATGATGCGGCAACACCGATGGCGTAACCTATGGCGCCACCCAGCGACAGTGTGGATGTTCCATTTCGGGCTGCCAAGGGCGCAACCAACGACGCAACACAATGGCAACCAAGTAAAGTTATGCCGCTGGGGGCGACCCTGATGCCGCGAACAACAGCACGCCTATCCAGTGCTTGCGGCCGGGGGTGCAGCTTACGGCGTGCAGGGTTATCCCTTGAGCAGCCCACGGATGGCGCAGCGCCTGGCGCCGCCGATGGTCGAGCCCCGGCATAGAAGCCGGAGTAGATAGGGTTTAGGGTTTAGGGCTTATGATTTAGAGTTTATCATCAGCTGCCCCCATAATTCTAAAACAATGGGGCCGTCGGGAACGGCTCAAATAAGCTCGGAAGTGGGCCTACCGAGGCCGATTTCGCGACCCGCAAAACGGCTGCGGGACGCCGCCTTCGGCGTCGCCCAACAATCCTTGGGCGGGAGAAACAGATGGGACAGACGTGGGCACGCGACGAAGAGGAGAGGACTGGACGGCAGCAAGTTCGGTGAGAGGGGGGTTCGGCGAGGAGGAGGAAGCAGGACTGGGCGGGGGGGAGGAACGAGGAGAGAGAGAGAGAGAGAGTGAGAGACAAAGAAAGAGTGAGAGAGAGAGAAGTCTCTGGGGTCTCTCCCTGATCGCGTACGACAGGAAAAAACGCCAGCACCGATGGTGCGCGACTTGCTCCTCTGGGCTGGCTTTGCCTTGCTGAGGACTGTGGGCCAGAGACCCTAAGTAATGCGTCTCAAATGTTATCCCCCCGTGGCTGTGAGGGGTTCGTTCCTTTTCCACTAGCTCCCCAACCTTGCGGGACTCATGCATTCCGCCGTGGGAACAAAACCCACCCCCCAGCCCAGCGTGGAACCACGGATGAAAGGCTAAACCAATCCATCCCCCTGCTACATGCACCTGATCACCCAGGGGTGGGGGGGCTTATATAAGTACCATCTACGTGGGCTAGCAGAAAGCAGTCGAGCTTACGCCAGTCGACTTGCTCGTCTATACAAGCTAAGCCTCCGCACGCAGCCCACCTGCTTCCAGTTTCGTTACACCGTGAGCGGAAGCGAAAGCAGCGCACTTGGCGGGGGCAGAGGGGTCGGACAGGTTGTGTTCTGATCCGCCTCGGCTGTCTCCCACATGCCGAGGCACTCTGCTGCTCTGCTGCGTTCCGAGCTCGCTCAGACCCAATGGCTTCCAGAATGGTTCTCAGGAGTCGCACGCGTGCAAGATGAGCTTTATGTTCGATCGATCGGACTCTTTTCCTGCGATGTTTGCCGACGCCTTGCTCGTCGAATGCTATTCCTGCCAGCTCGTCTGCAACGATATTGCCGTAGGCGAACGCGCGCAGTGCCCTCCCTCGGACGACGCCCAGACTGGTCGGGTGAGATCGCGCACGCAGCGCCGCAAAATCTCCGCTCCATTATCCCAGTAGCTGTTCGACTTGGCGCCAGAGGTTTGGGTCTGGCCCTGCTGGAGCGGCAGGGCGTCAGTTGTAACAATTCACATCGATGCCTTCGCAGTCCGCCTAGAAAATTACATTATTCCGGGGGGCCTCCAAGGCGAGGATGAGGGCGAGCAGCTCGCCTCTTAGCGCCGTTTACCTGACGCCAGGCAAGGCCCCCGCGTCGCCATCTGTTGTTCCGCGACGTCTGGATCGACGTCGCTGAAAGCAGCGACGCTGGCGCCCGCCCGTCGCAAGACTAGCGATGATGCGTCGGCGCCATCGCTGGCGTCGCAAAAACGTGAAATCCACCTGCTCGTCGACCCTGGCGCGAACGCGTCGATGCCGCGCGCGCTCCAGGAGTGCGCCGACGCTCGCGGAGGGACCCTCGTCCAAGCTTGCGGCGGGAGGCCGCGAGTCCAGGAGCTCGCGCATGTCCCGCCGCGGCGCGGCCTCGCTGACTTGGGCGCCCGGGTAACTCGGGCCCGGGGTAACGCGGGTTCGGATTCCCGAAAACCGAACCCGAGTTAGCCCTGACCCGAGTTACCTCTGATGATTTGGGGCTCTGGACGCCCGAATTATCCGGGGTAACTCGGGCCCGGGGCAACTCGGGTTCGGATTTTCGGGGGGAAAAATTATCCTGGCGAAAGACCCAACCATAAGCAATTGTTGGTAACGCGTTGTGGGTGCCGCTTTCGGTGGGGCTCCATATGGGGCCACGAAGCGCTGCCTTGGGTGGGGGAACCGCATGCGGACTGCGCCACCGGGGCGGGCCTTCGGTGGAGCTCCCTATGGGGCTACGAAACGCTGCCCTGGGTGGGGGAACCGCATGCGAACTGCGCCACTGGGGCCTTCGGTGGAGCTCCCTATGGTGCCACGAAACGCTGCCCTGGGTGGGGGAAGCGCATGCGAACTGCGCCACGGGGGCTTTCGGTGGAGCTCCCCATGGGGCCACGAAGCGCTGCCCTGGGTGGGGGAACCGCATGCGAGAGCAGCCACTGGGGCCTCCGGTGGAGCTCCCTATGGGGCCACGAAACGCTGCCCTGGGTGGGGGAACCGCATGCGAGAGCCGCCACTGGGGCCTTCGGTGGAGCTCCCTATGGGGCCACGAAGCGCTGCCCGGGGTGGGGGAACCGCATGCGAAACCACCCCCACTGGGGCCTTCGGTGGAGCTCCCTATGGGGCCACCGAAACGCTGCCCTGGGTGGGGAACCGCATGCGAACACCCCCACTGGGTGCCTTCGGTTGCGAGTCCCTATGGGGCTTACGAAAACGATGCCCTGGGTGGGGGAACCGGCATGCGAACACCCCACTGGGGCCTTCGGTGGAGAGCTCCTATAGGGGCCACGAAACGCTGCCCTGGGTGGGGGAACAGCCATGCGAACACCCCCAATTGGGGCCCTTCGGGGGAGTCCCTAGGGGGCTACGAAAAAACGTGCCCTGGGTGGGGGAAAACCGCATGCGAAAACCCCCACTGGGGCTACGAAACGCTGCCCTGGGTGGGGGAACCGCATGCGAACACCCCCACTGGGGCCTTCGGTGGAGCTCCCTATGGGGCCACGAAACGCTGCCCTGGGTGGGGGAACCGCA